ATTTACCAAATTACAAAATTCATATAAAAAAAATTCTCACTTGAAATATTTGAACTTTAGCGTTGCGACTCGCACTTTCCAATATTATATAACCGTTAATAAATAACACATTCTTAAAAAAAAATCTTTCGGTCTACAACACATTTATTTGGTTTTCGAGTTTTGATTTTAAAGGAAAAAATTACAGCCTGAGGATGAGGACATGAAGTCTTTGAAAGTACTTGCTGCTCTAAAAAATAAACCAGATCCATCTGACAACAATATTATACATAAGGATTGCATCATTCAATGGATTGTTAGTAGTTTAATGCTTATATTAATCTGTTAGCGAAGAGATTTCGCCATTAGTTGCATTAATATTGTTAATTGATTCAATGTATGATTATCTCTTTATAATATAAAATATATTCTGCCTAATATATATATATATATATATATATATATATATATCGGGCCACTGGCGTATATCGTATAGAAAACGTTATAATTTTTCTTTCTCTCTGCCGTGCGATGATAGCCTAGGGGTAGGATCTCTGACTTATGCCAAATCGGTCGGGTGATACAGCTAAACAGTCAGTCTGTGGATGACAATATATATATATATATATATATATATATATATATATATATATATATATATATATATATATATATATATTGTGGCCTTCTGAGGGTCAGAAATAAAGACACAATAATAGGAATTGAGTAAAACAAATATAATAACAGAAACAGTAATACCAACATATAAAAACGAGAATGTTACAGCAAGAATGTTCGGTCCGACTGTCAGAGCTGACTGCTGGTAAATTCCCTCTCTAAAAGGCAGAACCTGCTCCTATTTATAGCTGGGAGAGTTCATGCCATATAGATAAATTACCATAACATATATATATATATATATATATATATATATATATATATATATATATATGTGAAAATATATAGAAAATAGGAAGGAACTGGTTAGGTAAATAATCCAAAGTCCCTTAGTATTTTTAGTTATTATTTTTAAAAATAGTGCTCGATACAAAAGTAGAGCATAAATATAATTATTTATTTAAAAATATGATTCCAAATTGCTACATAAGAGGTCTCATGTTTTGGTACACCCCTCCGTTCAACCAAAGGGTTAGTATTAAACAAGGACAGAAATTCTTAGCTCTAATTAATAAACACTTCCCCACCAATAGTAAGCTTAGTAATATATTCAATAAGAACACCCTAAAATTGAGCTACAGCTGCTCTGATAATCTTGAACGCATAATAAAAAAACACAATAATAAGATCTTGAACAAACCCCCATGCCAAAACAGTATTAATAAAAACTCTGCACTTAAATCAGACGATAAAAGGGAAAAATTATGCAACTGTAGAAACCCAGTAGACTGCCCATTAGAAAATAAATGTTGTATTAATTCTGTGGTATACCAATGTACTATTTCATCCACAGAGAGCCCTAGCACTAATATGATATACATTGGGTCCACGAAGAATAATTTTAAAGATAGATGGAGGCAGCATAAGTGCTCCTTTAATAATATAAACAAACGAAATCAGACTTCACTATCAAAATATTTTTGGCACCTGAAGGAAACAAATAAGACACCAAAAGTTAAATGGAAAATTATTGACAAGGCTAGAATATGTAAAGCTTGGGATGACCCATGCCCTTTGTGCCTCCATGAAAAATTGCACATTATTAAACTTCTAAATAATAATAATCTATTAAATAATAGACACGAGTTAACGGTTTTTTGTAGGCATCATCAGATTTTTGGTTTGAATTATTAGATAAAAAATTTATATAACTTGTTTAACAAATAGCCCAATCATCAGATTCATAGTAGAATAATTAACTACAAACATGCATACAACATAACACCCTTCATAATCCATAGCCTAAATTAGTAGTTTAAATACCTTACATAAAAGATAACCCTTTATGAAGTCGTCAAAAAACAAACGTTACGAAAGTTTTCTTTTTTTATATGCACAATTCCCTTTCATAATAAAATAAAATAAAATAAAATAAATAAATCTCCATAGACAAGCAAACTAGACGATGGCCAATACATCTTCCGTTTCATTTTGACACCCCCACCTTTCCCCTGACTTGACACCTTGAAAGTATCTCTATACCGCTACTTATTATAAACACCCTACACTCGTCTACCCAATTTAGACAATTCACCCTAGCTGTTACCATGGGGATTTTGATTTCAATTTTAAAACAAGTAAATTTCAGATATACGTTATTCAACAAAAATTTCGCTTGAAGATGGAACGAGCCCATTTTACTTTCAACTCAATTTAATTTAAAGGATTATATTGAAGTTTTCGGCTCTAGTTTTTGAAACATGAGACCTCTTATGTAGCGATTTGGAATCATATTTTTAAATAAATAATTATATATATATATATATATATATATATATATATATATATATATATATATACACTATAAAACAAAAGTATGGATTTACAAGACTCGCCTAAATATTTAATATTGGGAATCTTTTTCCAAATTAATTTACTAGTTCACCATGGGTCACAGTGACTTTCTCTTCCTGAAGGGTTTCATCCTATATTCAATAATGATAACAATGAAAGTAATACTAACAATAAATTAACACATTTATGCTTAAAGTAAACTTAAAATGTTAGCCTGTCTTGCATAATATGCTTTGTTTGACTAATGGTAATCTTATGCCTTGGCAAATTTAACATTTTAGGTAGTTTAAAAAATTAGCCGCCATGCACTTATGGGTTTAATAGTTTCAGCATCCGAGCTTAGTAAGTATTAAGTAAATAAAGAAGTTTAATTATTTTAAGCACAACAAATTACGCAGTACTTATTTTGATTAACAGTATTACTTAGAACGAATACTTCGTTACTCATTGCATAATTTATCTAAAAAATAAATTTATTAGAGCATTACTTAGATTAGTGTTTTTCACACCTGGTAATAACTGTTTGGGAGCATTATATCGAATTTTAAAAACTTAAAATTATGAAAAATTATAATTTACGATGAAATTTAATTTAATTTAAATTTATTATAAACAAATGTAAATTACCTATAAGATTTATTTTGCAAATTTAGTCGACTATTAGAGCAGCAGTATTTTTCTGTGGTTTTCTTCTCTTTTTCAGTCTGACAAATGATTATTCTGCAACAATTCTATCGAAATTCTCTCTTTAAAATGCCATTGCTTTTCTGCTCTTGTTCAGTTTTCTTTTTTCATTGGCGGATGTTGATTTGAAGATGAAAATATCATTGAATAATTCTGGTGAGAAAAATTTGCTGTCATTTTTGTCTACAATGAAACGAACAAAGGGAAAGGAATTTATTAAAATCTCTTCAATTGGTATAAATTTACAAAAATGTAAACCTGTCTGAGCCGACAATAATGTAAGTGACAGATGACTCTATATAAATATATATAGATATGAGTGACAGATGACTACGTATATATATGTAAGTGAATGATGATTATATATATATATATATATATATATATATAGAGAGAGAGAGAGAGAGATAAGTGACAGATGACTATATATATAAATGTAAGTGACAGATGACTATATATAGATTTAAGTGAGAGACAACTATATATAGAGATGTGACAGATGACAATATATATATGTGTGTGACAGATGACTATAGATGTAAGTGACAGATGACTATATAGAGAGATATAAGTGACAGATAATTATATAGATCTAAGTGGCAGATGACTATATATATATAGATGTAAATGGTAGATGACTATATATAGATGTAAGTGACATATGACTATACATATAGATGTAAGTGATAGTTGACTATATATATAGATATAAGTGATATATGATATATATATACATAGATATAAGTTTCAGATGATTATATATATATATATATATAGATGTAAGTGATAGATGACTATATATGTGAAGATATAAGTGGCAGAGGACTATATATAGTTTTAAGTGACAGATGACTATATATAGATGTGACAGACGACTATGTATATATAGATGTAAGTGACAGATGACTATATATCTATATATGAGTGACAGATGACTATAGATGTAAGTGACAGGTGACTATATATATATAGATCTAAGTGAGAGATGCTTATATAGATCTAAGTGACAGATGACTATATATATATATACATATAGATGTAAATAGTAGATGACTATATAGAGATGTAAGTGACAGATGACTATATAGATGTAAGTGATAGTTGACTATATATATATACATGTAAGTGACAGATGACTATATATATATATATATATATATATATATATATATATATGTGTGTGTGTGTGTATATATATATAGATGTAAGTGATAGGTGACTGTATATATATATACTTATAAATGACAGATGACTATATATATATATATATATATATATATATATATATGGAAGTGACAGATGACTATATATATAGATGTATGTGACAGATGACTATATATAGAGAGATGTAAGTGATAGATGATTATAAAAAAGTCACTGTTGATTATTTGCAGCTAATGTATTTAAATTAGAATTTTGGGGCAACCCGCGTGAGCGTGTTAAAATCTCCCAACTGTTTTATATTGTTGAAGTTATCGAAGACATTTTTATTGAAATTTACAATCTCTAGATTTCATTCAATTTCACAAACCAATCGATGAAAGTTGAATAAGCTGATTGTTTTGGAAAATAATTTGACAAAAACCCTATTTCGCGGTCTAATAAGTTTAATTTAATTTCAAGTGAATTTAACTCCATAGTAAAGAATATATTTTCAGAAAATTTCCGTTTTGCTTTTTAACAGTGAAAAATAAATTCTAAGAGTTTCTTACTTTTGAGCATGAAACATACAACTATCTTAGCAATTAAGCAATGGTGAGAGGAAAAAGATCATTCAGTAATGGTACCAACTTCCATACACTGGCGGCCATCTTCAAAGTTCATTTAAAACTATCAAGAAAACGGTGAGTAAGTTTAAAAATGAGGGAACAGCCGAGAGGACAACTGGATCTATCTATCTATCTATCTATCTATCTATCTAAGCATTATAGTTTATATCTATCTATCTATCTATCTATCTATCTATCTATCTATCTATCTATCTCTCTTTCTCTCTCTCTCTCTCTCTCTGTATATATATATATATATATATATATATATATATATATATATATATATGAGCATCTCTGTTTATATCTATCCATTTATATATGCGAAAGAAAAAATACTATTTTCAGTGTAATAAATTTCGTGACATGCTCTCTATAGATTTTAACTGTGGTTAAATGTATTAGAAAGCAAACAGCATGGTATTAAATGCTAATTGTTGTTCAAAATCACGATACCAGAGATCCAGAAAAATAACTTAAAAAAAATCTGCTATTCATTTCTCATATATATATATATATATATATATATATATATATATATATATATATCACTTTCTTTCCCACATTACACTGTCAATGAGTTATTTTCTAATTATAAAATTCATAGACAAGACTGAATATGGGATTTCATTAAATAAGAAGTATTGGATCGGAGCAAACTTTCGTAGTGTTTTTAAAATGAATTTCCCAGACAATATTTACGTATTTGTACATAAATTTATTCAGGCATAACTGTTCTATTTTGTTAGAAAATCTTTTGTTTTCTTTGAGGCAGATTCCTGATTCCTTCCTCACAGAATGTAGCACCTTTCTGGGTGATGAACTAGTTGTAGTTCTTTTTATCCAGAGGAATTGAAGCTTTTCGCAATAAAATCAAGATAAAAAAGTGCAATCCGAATATGTAATCTCAAATGATTACGTTGCGTGTAAGTAGAACATCCTGGCCAAATCATAGCAAATTCTGCCGCGTCTGCAAAGACCTGAATTCTGGCGTTATCCTGATGGAAAACTACATTCATTCTCTTAGACAATTCTGGGCTCATTTCATCGATTGCTGTATTTAATCTGTTCAACACTTTTTTGATTTTGATACACAGTGGCCTTGCAATCCCAGCAGATGCACAGCATCGTCTTCTCGGACGCAGATTGAAGCAATTAACGTTGGCTCATTTCGTTTTCAACAGGGACTTCTTACCTATGTATTGTTGTAAACAATACATTTTTCATCGCTCGAGATCGTTCTTTTGAAAAATGTGTTTATTTATTTTTAGGTTTGAAAAGAAAATCGTAGATTGAAATCCTGGCTGTTAAATTGTTTTCCGTTAAATTATCACCAAAACATTGTAGTGATTCACGTATACATTTTTTCAAATGCCCCACAACGCTCATAGGAGATCTTTGAAATATCTCTGTGATATCTCGTGTGATATCTCGTGTGATATCTCGTTGAAGCTAATTTGACTACACTAAATGGATATACAGTCTGGTCAACGGAGCCAGCAGTACATACGCAAATTTTATATCTCGTGTATGATACGACCCCCTTAAAATTAGCTTCATAATTAAAAAATCGCATGATACGCGAGTATATATGGAATATAGGATGTCAAAGTTAGAATTCTAATATTTTTTTAATAAAATGGTGAAAAATATCGCTTATATATCAAATACACCTTAGCACGATCAGTTGGGTTACAGCATCAGTTTATTATAAGGGTGAGAGAGGAGAAAGTAAGAAGTGTTTGTTATGAGGATACGAGCCGTCCCATTCCCGACTTCTCTCCTCTAACGGAGCACAAATTTAATAATGTTTCTATCACAGTCCGGTAAGGTAACGGGTTCAAATAAAATCCCTAGACATGAAAAGCGTGGGGATTGGGGGAATATTCTCACCGAAGCCTGGTCACCAAATTAACAGTTCTTAGGAAGAAGACTCCTGAATTTAGCATTTTCTTTATTTATATATACAGGATGCAATGGATAAATTGTCGTCTAAATTACGCAAAACTGAAAATTACACTGACATCACACTTTAACAGATTAACAGATAAAATGACACGCATTAAAACCGTAGACAAATCTATATTAAAATTTTAAAAACTTCTATATCGAACCTGGCAGTGGATAGTAACGTGTATTCTTAACTTTGTATGTGTCCGTCGGCGTAGACGGTTGGTATTCCAATCATGATCGTAGGCGCTTTGTTTCGACCTTGATTTTGATTGTTTGCGCATACAGCTGAACATTTTTTATATATTCAAACCCTCTCTTGCAAGGATTGGTGACAGTTCTCAATGCTACAAATGCTCCTACAGAAATACTATATAAAATAAAAAGAATAGTTTCAAATATGCATCAAAATGAACGAATCAAACACACACACACAAATATATAGAGCGCAATGAGTAAATTGTCGCCATTTTATATTTTTAATTTCGCGCATGCGCTTTGATCTGTTTGTATTTTGTCGACTGCCCAGTATAGTAGGGTCAGTTGCGCACCGTCTGTAAAAAAACGACGCAGTTAACTCTGCCAGAAATCTGATAACGACATGCTGTACAGATTGACATTCGAAGCTATAATAGGAATATTTCAGAGTGGGTGTCAATCAGTGGACAGTGCAAAGCATTTAGAAAGAGTTGGATGATATATCCAGTTAGAATCGTGGTGTTTAGAGTGACCACTAGCGATTCCGACGTTATGACTCCATTTATCTTCCCAGGGTATTTTAGATTCAACAGAGAGGCCTACATCAAGTGTCTTGAGGAGGCAGAGCTGCCCCGAATAAAGAGGATGGCTAATGGAAGACCCTATAACTGGCAAGAGAAATCTGCACCATTCCTCACAAGTAGGAGAACGTCCCCCTATTTTTAAATAATAAAGCAATGACATCATTGCTCTTGTATATAAACACATGCAACAAAATAATCCCTTGATGACTCCCACAGAGGATATATACAAATTACTAAGGGTAAATTGTCAAAATTTTAAAATTAGTGTATGCACGTTGTTTGTTTTTATTTAATCGGCGGCACACTATAGTAGGATTACTTTTTATTGAGAAAAAGAGCACCATGATGCAATTCACTCCACCAGAAATTTTGAAACACGTCTTTAGTGCCTGGTATTCGCGCCGGAAGTTCCAATGCGACCAATTCAGATTCTTTGGGTGTAAAACAGTGTAGCGGATTCGGAATGAGTTGGATGAGTCTAATGGTGATTACGAAGGTGTTTGAAGTGATCACTAGTAATGACGACGTTATGCTCTCAATCATTTTCCTACTGTGTCTCGACTCAATATGGAGGTTTACATCAAGTGCCTTGAAGAGGTCGGGCTGCCCTGGATCAAAAGGGTATCTGCTGGAAGACCATATGTATGGCAACAGGACTCTGCGCCATGCCAAACAAGCAGAAGGACGCAATCATGGCTGTCAGAAAATTTCTGCGACCACATCACCGTAACATTTGGTCACCAAACACAGTTGTAGCACCAAAGATGGATTGAAGTCAAGGATTATGGCAACATTCATCAACTTAAACAAGGAGAGCGTCCAGAAGAGTTGCAAGAGATTCCGAAGTAATCTGAGGACCGTGGTGGAAGGCAATGGCGATTTTATTGAATAAATCTACTATTTATTCAAGATATTGTGCAAATTTGGTAACTATAGCTGTTAAATGAGATGCCTGTATTATTTTATATTTGCGTAAGTTAGACGATAATTTATCCAACCAACCCTATATATATATAGTCAAACCCGAAACCTGTTTCATTATATAATATAGACATATTGTGTATGTGTGTGTGCGTGTATATATATATATATATATATATATATAGTCAAAGTTGTTTCATTGTATAATATAGATATATTGTATATATATATATATATATATATATATATATATATATATATATAAAATATATAGTCAAACCCGTTTCATTGTATAATATAGACATATTGTATATATGTGTATATATATATATATATATATATATATATATATATATATATATATAGTCAAACCTGTTTCATTGTATAATATAGACATATTTTATTTGTGTGTGTGTGTATATATATATAGTCAAAAGCCGTTTCATTGTATAATATAGACATCTTGTATATATATGTGTGTATGTGTATATATATATATATATATATATATATAATAATAATTCCGCATATTTATACTTAATACTTATATTAATACTATAAGTGTGTTTCTAATTATTGTCACACTGATGCATTTACACTCATATCTAATTCTCTCTCTCTACATATATATATATATATATATATATATATATATATATATTCACGTGTTAACAAGTATCACCGTATCTTGGAATTTGTATGTTTTTATGCTGATTTAAAGATAGTTTTTAACGTTATTTTTTACTCAGAGTCTGAGATTCGAGCTCAAATATATGTCTCATGGTTTCTCTTGTACAATTCTTGGTTGTTTCTTCCAAAGATTGGGAGAATATTTTTGGAAGCTCAATACAAATAAAGATAAGAAGGAAAAAAAATGTGAAAATGGTAAATGATGAAAAAATCGTGGACAATAGCGAGACCAAACTTGGCCTGCCATTTTTGTTCTCGGATCCAAGCAAGGCTTATCTCTTTCTGCAGCGCCATCTATCAATCTTCTTGTGTACAATATATTTTTTATCTCCCTTTTCTTATCTCTTCAGATTTTGCATTAAAAAAACCGGCCATTCTTTCTCGGCTTTCGTCTTATCGTCCTTTTTTTTAAACTTTCCTCTGGATTCCCACTAAGACTCGCATTTCTCATTCGAATTCCTGGAGACAGACCACCTGTTGTTTCTCAAAAGTGCAAAAATGCATTGAAAATGGATTATTCCAAGCTGATAATGGTGATGAAGACAGAGAGTAGAAAGTATGAAAGAATGCGGGAAGATCAAAAATTAAAATTATATACAATTGTATATAAAAACTATATAACACACGCACACACACACACGCGCGCCCACACACATATTTATATATATATATATATATGTGTGTGTGTGTGTGTGTCTTTGTATGCATTTACATATTCAGGAAGATAAATAAAAGATAAAAAGTGGACAAAATAATAAGTTTCTATAATACTTAACAGCACAAAATGTGAGAAACATGAAAGTAAAAGGCAATAGAAGGAAGAAGAAGAAGAAGAAGAAGAAGAAGAAGAAAGAAGTGGATAAGGAGGAGGAAAGAGAAAATAGAGAAGAAAAAGAAGTATGAGGAGAAAAAGCAAACAAAGAAGAAAAAAAGGAGAAAACGAAGAGAAAAAAGCGGACAAGAAGGAAAAAACGAAGAAGAAGAAGAAGAAGAAGAAGAAGAAAGGAAGAAGAAGGGGATAAGAAGAAGAAAGGAAGAAGAAGAAGAAGAAAAGGAAGAAGAAGAAGGAAAGAAGAAGAAAGGAAGAAGAAGAAGAAGAAAAGAAGAAGAAGAAGAAGAAGAAGAAGAAAGGAAGAAGAAGGGGGTAAGAAGAAGAAGAAGAAGAAGAAGAAGAAGAAGAAAGGAAGAAGAAGGGGATAAGAAGAAGAAAGGAAGAAGAAGAAGAAAGGAAGAAGAAGGGGGTAAGAAGAAGAAAGGAAGAAGAAGAAGAAGAAGAAGAAGAAGAAGAAGAAGTAGAAAAAGAAGAAAGGAAGAAGAAGTGGAAGAAGAAAGGAAGAAGAAGAAGAAAGGAAGAAGAAGAAGAAGAAGAAAGGAAGAAGAAGAAGAAGAAAGGAAGAAGAACGGGGTAAGAAGAAGAAAGGAAGAAGAAGAAGAAGAAGAAGAAGAAGAAGAAGAAGAAGAAAGGAAGAAGAAGGGGGTAAGAAGAAGAAGAAGAAGAAGAAGAAGAAGAAGAAGAAGAAGAAGTGGAAAGAGAGGCAGAAGAAAAGACAAAGAATACAAAGACCAAGATGAAGAAGAAAAGGAACCGTGCGGAAAGAAATTTATTCTTAATTTAATGTTCCTCGGTAACCAAAAATCCAATGAAAGCTAATCTCAAAATACATTAGAAATAATAATAATAATAATAATAATAATAATAATAATAATAATTTTAGCAATAATAATAATAATAAGAAGAAGAATAGGAAAACTAAGCAAATACAAAGAACTGGCAAAGAAAATACAAAAAAAAATCTGGTGCTTAAAACCTAACACTGCTCCATCCTGAGGTTGGAGCTTTCGGTGAGATAGAAAGAAAGGAACTCAATTAAAAATCAAGAAAATCTCTGTTGCACCATTTTCCCAGCAAATACAAAGAACTAGTTCTAAAACGTACAGCCCATTTCTTACGAATAGCTTTGTATATTTAACAACAACAACAACAACAATAATAATAATAATAATCAAGGATGGAACTAACCTGAAATGCAGGACCTGTGGAAAATATGATGAAACCGTCGACCGTATTATCTCAGGATGCCCGGAAATCGCAAACAATAAATATACCCACAGACATAACAAGGTAGCGACATATGTGCACTGGAAAATATGCAAGAAGCAAAAACTCGAAACCACTGAGAGATGGCATGACCACCAACACAGTTACCCAAAATAACGATGTAACTATCCTCTGGAACATGCCAATTAAAACTGACAGGGAAATAAAAGCGAATAGGCCTGATATAAAAGAGAAAAAAATCTATGCTTATTGATATAGCAATAGCATCTGAGAGAAACACCACCATGAAAATTATCGAGAAATTGTCAAAAAAAAAATGGACCTGGAGTTCGAGATTGACACGATGTGGGGGAATGAGACTTTACCAAAAGTAATCGGATCTCTGGGCATCGTGAGATCAGGAATGGACAATTTTGTTAACAGTGTCCCGGGTAACATCAACATACAAGTTGCACAGAAGACCGCCCTACTAGGAACATCCCATATACTAAGTGCTATCAATTAAATGAAAATTCTCTTACAAGACCTAAGGATCATTTTCTTGACCTGCCTCTACAGGAAACATAACATACACAAATGATAATGATCCACATCAGCAATTTGAAACAGAGTTATATATATATATATATATATATATATATAAATATATATCAAAAAGAACATCATACCAACTGTTCCAAGTGGGCCTCGGTGAAGATATATATATATATATATATATATATATATATATATATATATATATATATATACCTCCTCTCTCTCTCTCATCTCTCCCCCCTCTCTATATATATATATATATATGAAGAAATATACTATTAAGGTGTGCTATATTCATGGGATAAAAGTTGCACAATATCAGAGATAGAGAACGTGTGTAAATATAAAAGAGAACATTGAAGTGGGCGACAGGCTGTTTCATGCTAAGCGCAATTTAGTCTAGCATGAAACAGCCTGTCGTCTCTAAGTTTTGACATTCTGTTCACTTATATATATATATATATATATATATATATATATATATATATATATATATATATATATATATATATATATTTCAACGTCTGGGATTGTACTAAACAGAAAACAAATAATAATAATAATAATGAAGGTGCAAACAATTGCATGAACTGCAATAAATCACACTCATGGTGGCTTCTTGCTCTTTGCGTAGATTCCTCTCTTCTGCATATGTGTCTCTCTGATTTTTCTCCCTGCTTTCATGGCACCTCATCTGCTTCTGCTTGCATCTTCTGGTGCCAAGAACCAGTTTCTGTCCTGTTGGTTGTAATTTGGAGATAAATCATGCTACACAAACAAAATAGCAATGCTTAAGAAATCAGGTGCAAGCGAATGTGAAATCCAACAGACAACCAGCCTGGTGAGCCATATAACAAACTTCATCATCCGAATTCTAATGAATAGATCGCGCAGCAGAATTAAACAGGAAAAAATAAGAGAACTAACACGACAAACGACATGAACAGGATGCCTAAAATCTAACGATGGAACGCTGATACAGTGAGAGAAACTTGTTAACCATTACACATCGTCGAAGTTCGCTATGATTTTTTTTAAGCGTAGCGTAGATTTAGTCTAGGACCGAAAGTAGCGAGCGCCCATTGAGGATTGAACTTAACTTAATTGATCCATATAAACAAGCTATGTTATCCAGTACACATCGTCGAAGTTCCCTATTTTCTTTTTTAAAGCGTAGCGTAGATTGTACTAAACAGCCGAAATAATCGAGCGCCCATTGAGGATTGAACTCGCTAACAATTGATCTGAAGCAAACAAACACCTAACCATTACACATCGTCGAAGTTCCTATGATTTTTTTTATAAAGAGTAGCGTCTCTGTGGCACAGGGCCCTGTATCAAGCGCCCATCTGCTTGAACTCGCATCTTCTTGATCTAGCGAAACAAGTTTGTTAACCATTACACATCGTCGAAGTTCCTATAAATTTTTTTAAAGCAAACAAAAGATATAGCACAGGGCCGAAAGTATCGAGCGCCCATTGAGGATTGAACTCCTACTTAATTGATCTAGCGAAACAAGCTTGTTAACCATTACACATCGTCGTAGTTCCCTTATGAATTTTTTTTTTAAAAGCGTAGATGAAAAATAAGGGCCGAAAGTATCGAACGCCCATTGAGGATTGAACTCTGCTGGAATTGATCCAGTGAAACAAGCTTGTTAACCATTACACATCGTCGAAGTTCCCTATGATTTTTTTTTAAAGCGTAGCGTAGATGTGGCACAGGGCCGAAAGTATCGAGCGCCCATTGAGGATTGAACTCGCTACTTAATTGATCTAGCGAAACAAGCTTGTTAACCATTAAATCTCGTCGTCGTTCGCTATGATTTTTTAAGCGTAGCGTAAATGTGGCACAAGGCCGAAAGTATAGGACACCCAGTTAGGATCATATTCACCATTCACTCGTAAGTGATACAGTGAAACGACCTTGTTAACCATTACACCTCGTCGAAATTCCCTATGATTTTTAAGCGTAGCGTATATGTGGCACAGGGCCGAAAGTATCGAGCGCCCATTGGGGATTGAACTCGCTACTTAGTCGTAATTGATCTAGCGAGACAAGCTTGTTGACCATTACACCTCGCCGTTCGATATGATACTTTAAGTGTAGCGTAAATGTGGCACAAATCCCAAAGTATGAGACACCCAGTGAGGATCAAATTCACTATTCGGTCGTGAGTGATATAGTGAAACGACCTTGTTAACCATTACACCTCGTCGAAATTTCCTATGATCTCTTAAGCGTAGCGTAAATGCGGCACAAGGCCGAAAGTATGGGTCACCCATTGAGGATCGAACTCGCTATTCAATCGTAATTGAATACAGCGAGACAAACTTGCTAATCATTACGTCGAAATTTCGGATTAGATAAATGTACAAAAGTAACATTCAAGAATTATTAGGGAGAATTATGGAAGCACACTCAATAGATATAGACTTTGTCACATAGTGTAGAGAACTTGAACAAGGAAAAAAACTATAGGTACCAAGGAAATAGCGAAGGAGATGGAATAAAGCTCACCCAAATGAAGGAGAAAGTAAGAAAAGGTTAGTATAGGTAGGCGCCTAAGGTATTGAATACCGAATTGAATTATCAGCCATAAACACCTTAGAAGTTATGATAATAATAATAATAATAATAATAATCAGGTTGTACGGTGTTGGCACCCACTGAATATAAAACCCGGCATGACAGAGTGCCAGTTTGCATTTTCCAGTGCAATATCTGCACTGGAAAATTTGCAAATTCTACGAGAAGGAAACTGAAAGAAACTAGTATGAACACCAACGAGACCCGGTTACGGAGATGGGACCTGTTACAATTCTATGGGACTACACAA